GGTTTTTTGGCCCCGTTTTTAAATTGGTCCACATTGAGGTCCAAAGGGTCCAAAATTAAACTTTGTTTGATTTCATCAAAAATTGAATTATTGGGGTTCTTTGATATGCTGAATCTAACCGTGTATTTAGATTCTTAATTTTTGGTTCCATTTTCAAATTGGTCTACATTAAGGTCCAAAGGTTCCAAAATTAAACTTAGTTTGATTTTAACAAAAATTGAATTCTTAGGGTTCTTTGATATACTGAATCTAAACATGTATTTATTTAGATTTTTGATTATGGGCCCAGTTTTCAAGTTGGTCCAAATCGGGGTCCAAAATTAAACTTTGTTTGATTTCAACAAAAATTGAATATATGGGGTTCTTTGATATGCTGAATCTAACCATGTATTTAGATTTTTGATTTTTGGGCCCCTTTATCAACTTTGTTCACATTGAGGTCAAAAGGGTCCAAAATTAAACTTTGTTTGATTTCATCAAAAATTGAATTCTTGGGGTTCTTTGATATGCTGAATCTAACCATGTATTTAGATTTTGGATATTGGACCATAATAGGTGAATGTCCAATTTAAAATTTTTAAGTTCTTAGACCACATTCATTCTGTGTCAGAAACCTATGCTGTGTCAAATATTTAATCACAATCCAAATTCAGAGCTGTATCAAGCTTGAATGTTGTGTCCATACTTGCCCCAACTGTTCAGGGTTCGACCTCTGCGGTCGTATCAAGCTGCGCCCTGCGGAGCATTTTATTTAATTTTGATTAATTTTGATTTATGTTTAATTGCCAGGGAAGCGCTCTTAATAAAAATATTTTTTCTTTAAGAAGGCAACAACATTCTAACAGAAACCGATTAGTCGAGTATCATTTTGGTATTCGATACTCGGTACTACCGAGCGATACTCGAGTACTCGTTGACATCCCTAGTTATTTATAATTATGTCCCCTCGAAATTTCAATTGGTCAGTATTTCCCGGTATTTACTGCCAGCATATCAATACTTGTAAAACTGTATTGACTGGGGTTCTTTCCAACACAAATTCAGATTGTGCTCTCTAACTTTAATTAATTCCCATTCTCCAACTTTAAAACTCCTTAGATCTTGGGGATTATTTAATGGTGAATCAGTAAAACATCTTTCCATTGTGGGTATAAGCTAAGTTTGAATGGAATAATCCTGATTTTGAAATAGCATTACAGTTTACTCATTTAATCAAACAGGCCTCTGTGATGGCTAACATCACTATTCTGTAGTCATTCCAAGTTTCATTAATGAACTCCAATTAGAGTTTAAAAGTTTAGGAGTATAAACAATTTTTGAACAGATGTACAGGGGTGGCTTATTTGAATTAAGTTTTTGTCCACAACTTTTGATGCTTTATTCTGTGTATTTCATCCCCAACTCCAAAGGGTTTTTAAGTTGGAGAGCAGAATTTATTTTTGTACATATGCACTGGGGTAGCTAAGTTGAACTAAGTTTTTGATCATGAATTTCAGTGTCCTCTTTTCTGCTTCTTGCGCAACACACCTGGTATAAGTGATAAATCTTGCCAAGTTTCATCACTGAACTCCAAGAGGTTTTAAAGCTAGAGAGCTGTAAACAATTTGTATTGGACTGACAGAAAAGATGATTACTTAAGGAATCAATAAGCCCTTTATAATTGAAAGCATTTCAATGTACATGTATTGGTAAATAGAGTTAATCAGACTTATTCATTTTTTTTTTTTTTAAAGATTGGTTTTTATTGAGTTGTGTTTCTGTCTGTTGTCAGTCCAAGAAGTATTAGTTATGACAAAATATAGATCCAATTGATTTTTACCAGTTATACCTTCATTCATGAATACTTTGTTTTCAGTTCTTTCAACCCAAAATCATCTTGAGAAGCTACATTTAAAATGATCTTTTATACAACAGAAAATGAACCTATTGTTCCCTTGTCACTGATGATATATTGTGTATTTCTAATACATTGTGTTGTTACAGAAAAAAATGTATTCTAACAAGATAAGTTGTTAGCAAGAATATATATATAGATTCTACCACTGCATCCAGTCTGTTAGGATGTTTTCCCTTCAAGACAGTTAAATTTTCGAATTTAAAACTTGTGGCTAGCCAAGCATCTTAAATATTCAAAGGTAGTGGATTCTGTTTCTTTAAATGATTATTTGACAATATGAATGCAAACTACCGTTCTTTTTCATTGATCTGCAAAAAGGTCTTGTTCTTTCCATACAACATCACTGGGCATAGTCACCTTTTGTTGTAACATTGCAATCGCAAATCACAGGAAAGCAAGAAAATTTGAAGTCATATTAACCAATGAAGAACTGAAATCAAGCAAATCACCCATTGAAAATCAAAGAAAACAATCATCCTGTTGGGGAATGGAATCAGCTATTAAAGAATTAGAGAAATCTGTATAAATCACATCCAAAACCTTTTTTTTTCATTTGGAAATTTTTGTAGTGAGTCATGTACAGCTAGATAATTTTTGTGTTTAAATGTCTGATGATTTATATATTTTAAGCTTAGATTATTACTATTATACTGTAAAGCACAACATTGTAGTGGTATTTAAATGTTTTAAGATGTAACAGTCAGATAAGGTAAAGCATTGTTTATATGCCATATGGGGGATCACTATCAAAACAATTCTGACCTTTGAAACATTACTCAATAGATATATATAGGCTGATGCAAAATAGATTATCTTTTGTAAACAAGGAAAAAAAATCATAATAACATTGGACAGCACATGTTTAAAGAATTTAAAAAAAATTGAAGTGCAATTGTTTTTAGGGTTGGTTCAAATACAATATTAGATTTTTTCGTTCAAAAGGTATGTCTTTATTAACTATTTGAAGAAATGAAATGATTTGCTTATCAATTTATTATTTTTCTATATTTTCAATCATTTATGTAAGTTTTATTATGGTTAAAGTGAACTTTGTATTAAAAGAATAACATGTAATTTATCTTCTTTGTTTTGCAATTGTTGTAAATTGCTACTTTGTGAAAAAGAGAGATAAAAAATCTTAATAAACTTGTTAAAGTCGAATGTGGTTTGTCACTTATGAAAATAAACAATTTTTTACATAGATGAATGTATACATGGTATACAACAACTTTTGATAACATAATAAATGTGGGAAAATAACATGATTAACTATCTTAATTGTTACCTGATAATCGTAATTGCATTAGAAAGTAGGAGGTTAACTTGTCTGAATATATTGTGTTGGAGATTTAGGACTTTTTATCATGTATGTGGCATTAACAGGAAAGAGGGGTGAGTGTTGAATTGAGTCATTATGTATTGTGTGTTTTGTCAATGTCAGATTTATCATGACACATTCAATCAAATTGTTTCTCCAATAATTTTATCTCCAAGGCAACCAACCAACTTTACATTCTTTTACTTGACCTTTTTGTCCATAATGGTATGATTCAGACTATACATTTAAGGTCATAGATATTAAAATGTGACAATGTGATTTAATGTTTCCTCATATTGTTGTAAGATCCTAGATTTAATAAGCAGCATCTTGAAGTTTAATAATTACATTGGTAGGGCTCAATTCAAACAAGTTAGAAGGCTCCTTATCAATAGAGCATATGGATTTTTCGTATGAGGTCAGTTCAGAATTCAAGTATGATAGGGATTGTAAAATTAAAATATTAATAATATAAAGTATAGATATGGGAAAGTTATTGTTGGTAATTCAGAGGTTAAGTCATCTTGTAATAACTTCTTTAAAGGGTAAACAAAAAGTACATTATCTTTGCAATATGGGATTTTTGTATTTAGAATCAGATATTCTTCTTTCAATTCTTCATGTTTTCCATTCTTATTAATATAATAGTATATTTGTCTTTTTTTCTGTTTCTGTACAAAGATATACAATTAAATATTAGACATAGATAGAAATAGTAATTAAATGTACCTAAAATATGGCATCACCTGTTTGTATGACAATGTTAGGTAAATATGTTTTTTGTTACACATGTACAGGTGTTATATGACAGGAAAACATTGGGGAAAAAAGTTACATGCATGATATCAATATTTAATAAATGATCACAAGGTTATATAAACAATGCAGAAATGAAAGTAAAACTAGTGCTTACAAACCCAGAATAATTTCATGTGAAACTAAATATTAAACTAAATACCATTAAGTCATTTATATTGTATACTATTGAAATATATTTGAGTAAAAAAGGTGTGTTTAAATAGGGTTATTAACAGGTCAGCGGATACAATTATTTACCAAGAAGTGACTAACCGAAGACCTGTTTAGTAGGTATTATGAAGAAAATAAAAACAGATACAAATGACTAGATATGATTGTATGTGTTTAACTTGTAACAGTAAACTTGTGGCAGTGATTGTTTCGATGAGAAACTGCCCCCAGCACATGTTCATAATGACATTACCTACCAAATAAGTATCTCTTTATGGTGGTTTTAAACTGTGTCAATTATGGGATTTTTATTACAGTGTTGGATTTCTCCATACAATAATTGTTTTATAGTCATCCATCTTATGTTCTAAGTTATTATGAATAGTGTTACATGAAAATTTAATTTATTGTCACCTGTTATATCATATTTGACAGTGACCTTCAGTTAATAAAAATAATCAACTGAAAGAGGAAAATCGTGCAAAAGCAAAATACCATGAATTTATTATTATTCTTGGGATACCAATTTCTGTGGATTTTGTGGGTGTAAGTGAATTTAAATGGTCAATGAAATACAAATTTTCTTTAGACCAATATGCAATGTTTTGCAACACCATGAAAACAAATATCCATGTTAATTAATTTTTCCTCCATTTGTACCCATGAAAATATATGAATCCACAGTAACTAGAAATATAACTGCCATACTGACAAAAATGTTTTACTTCTATCTGGTCTATGATGAAATTATAATCATAAAAAATTGATGCGAGAATATAAACATTATGTATAGTAAACATTTCTTCATTTTTTCAGATCGGTCCAAAGTAAAAGAAGCTTATGTCATAGCAGTGGAAGATGAAGCACAGCAAAGATTGGAAAAGCTGTCATTACTTCATAAAGTGCAAGCAGTTGATATGACAAAACTAGCTTCTGATATAAGTGAAAATTCATCAATCGATTCAGAAAATTTTGTAGAATTAAATCCTGTAAATCAAACAACTGTATCTGTACAAACCCATACACCTAATGTTTCTGATGGCTGTATTGAAATGACAGAATTAGGTAGCATGGAGATGGAAGCAACTAAAAAACCCAAAACTGAAAAACGAAAGAAAAATGCAAGTAATCAAAATTCTGATCAGGACTCGCCAATTTTAGAGGCGATTCAAAACAGTGTATTTAATGCAAATGAAAGTTTTAGTGATTCAATGCAAGACTCATTTGATCAGGATGATAGTACACATAGGGAGATGGCAATTGATTGTCCAGAAAATTTCATTGCTTCTGTAAAAATTCCGCCCAAATACCCTCCATCTTATCAAAACTCTACTGAATCTTTAAAAACACCGCCAACTACTCCATCAAAAAGCTTTCATCAAAATGAGGACAAAAATTTGACAGATTCAACATTGAAATCAGCATCTGTCATCATGTCAAATGGCCGTCAAAATCATCCTATTAACAAAGAACAGTTAGAAAGATTACATAAACATCAAGACGATTTACGTAAACGCAGAGAAGAAGAAAATAGACTGGCAAGAGAAGACGAATTTCTACGCACTTCATTGAGAGGATCTAAGAAATTACAAGTCTTAAAAGAAAGGAAACAATTAGAACCACAAGGCGTTATCAATACTGCTTATGACAATAGTGTGGATGATTTGGATAATTTGGATGATGGTTTTAGTAGTGTTCATGGACCTTTTGAAAAAGAGAGATATATGAAGAAAAATGTTGGTATGTAAAACATCTTTGATACAATTGCTATATAAAAAAAACAAGGAGGTGACTGCAATTTTTAGGTTTTAAATATACCATGTAGATTGTTATTTTTGAATATCAGAGCATATTGACTTCATTTCTGTTTTCAAATTAATACAAATATTCACCTTTTCCAGTTTCAGTTTTATTAGGAAATACATGGTACACCTTTACACACGTTAAATAGTATTATAATCAAATTGTGTTAAAAGTACACCCTTTCACACCTGACATTAGACCGCTGAATCAGTTGTCTGTTTTCTAACCAATTTTCCAGGGTAAAATCAGTCTGGTTTAAAGAAAGTTTCTAGGAAAATTTCATATATATCAGTTTAGAGTTCTATAACGTTCTTTCAAATATATATATATATATATGTGTTTGACTTTGATTTAAAAAAAAATAATTTTAAAACGAAAAAAAATGAAAACTACATGTTATAAAAAGTAAAATAACAAAAATACATAACTTCAAGGAAAATATAAATTTCATGCGTCTGAAGCGCTTTTCTGGATTTACCTTCATCAGGAATGCTCAAAGCGGAATATTTGAAAGCCAAGGATGTATAACAAACCGAAACAATTGAAGAGCTATATAACCAAAAGGACCTAAAAAAAATTAGCCAAATCCATCTAAGATCAACTTTGCCTGAGGGAGTTAAACCTATTAAAGTTTCTTTATAATTTCCAAATTTATAATCGGACAATTTTAGAAAGGTTTGTTATAAATCATGTCAGTATCTAATTAAGTACTGACTAATGAACTGATGATACCCTCTGGGACTGATAGTCCACCAGCAGTGGTACTTTATGTTCGTCATCATTTACTTTTTAATTTATTTAATTTTACATTTTGCATCTGCCATCTTTGACCTAAACCAGGATGGGCAATGTCTAGGAACTATTTGTTGGTGAAATTTAATTTTCTGGACTCATGCATTGAATGTGAAAACCTAATCCAAGGACTCTTATATTTACGAGCATTCAGGTTTTAATCAGTTCTCAATCAGATGTAGGTAAAAGATGGTGATTGCAAATATATTGCGGAATATAGATAAATATATATTTATGTGACTCACACTCATGCAAGCAGGTTTTTATACGACCGCAAAAAAATTTTGGGGTCGTATATTGATATGACATTGTCGTCGTCGTCGTCGTCGTCCGAAGACACATTGGTTTTCGCACTCTAACTTTAGTTTAAGTGAATGGATCTCTATGAAATTTTACCATAAGGTTCAATACTACAAAAGAAAGTTGGGGATTGATTTTGGGGGTTTTGGTACCAACAGTTCAGGAATTAGGGGCCAAAAATAAGCATTTTTGTAACTTCCAGACATAACTTGTGTGTTAGTGTATGGATCTCTCTGACCAAGGTTCCATATCACAAAGGGGATGCTGGGATTGATTTTGGGGGTAATTGCCTCCAAATTTTAGGAATTAGGGGCCAAAAAGGGGCAAAAAACAAGCAGTTTTCTAGTTTCATGACAATAACTTGTGTGTAAGTGTATGGATCTTTATGAAATTGTACTACAAGGTTCCATATCACAAAGGGAAAGCTGGAATTGAGTTGGGGGGTAATTGCCCAAAACGTTTAGGAATAAGGGGCCAAAAATAAGCATTTTTCTAGTTTCCAGACAATAACTTGTGTTCAAGTGTATGGATCTCTCTGAAATTGTACTGCAAGGTACCATACCACAAAGGGAAGGCTGGGATTGATTTTGGGGGTAATTGCCTCAAAATTTTAGGAATTAGGGGTCATAAAGGGGCAAAAAAACAAGCATTTTTCTAGTTTCAGGACAATAATTTGTTTGTAAGTGTATGGATCTTTATGAAATTGTACTACAAGGTTTCATATCACAAAGGGAAAGCTGGGTTTGATTTTGAGGGTTATTGCCCTAAACGTTTAGGAATTTGGGGCCAAAAAGGGGCAAAAAAACAAGCATTTTTTTTTCCTTTTTTTTCCATTTTAAATTGGTTATTTTTGATTTATATATATAAAAGCAAATAATAATGATATGGTTTGAATAGGTAAATTAAAAAATTTTAAGTTCTTAGACCACATTCATTCTGTGTCAGAGACCTATGCTGTGTCAAATATTTAATTACAATCCAAATTCAGTGCACGTGCTGTATCAAGCTTGAATGTTGTGTCCATACTTGCCCCAACTGTTCAGGGTTCGACCTCTGCGGTCGTATCAAGCTGCGCCCCAGCGGAGCATTTTTTTGAAATCTAGAATACAAAACGGTGACAGCTGATCCCCCTTGAAAAGTACATGTATGGTTAGAGATAATACAGATACATCTTTATGAAATGTAAAAAAAAAGACATTAACCATGTTAACAGCAGCAGTGGGGCAACTGATACAATTTCTAAACTTCAGCACTTTAAAGTTTTATCTAACCAAATGACATTCTATTGGCCTAAAATGGCGCCAGGCCATGTTGGTTGGTGCTCAAGTAGACTCCATATTTTGATTGAAACTGTGGACTACCATACACTTCCAGATCATTATGAATAGAATGTGATATGATGTATAAAATGTACCCTGAATATTTATTCATGCCTGGCTTCATGTAAATGTGGTTTACCTACATCATGTTGTACTTGTACAATGTACATGTTATCATTCATTCCATTCACAAGTTTTAAAAAAACTACATGCATGACATTTTAGATGAAGTAAGAAGTTTTTATTAGACCACGCAATCACATATACATTATAGCTGTCTGTTAAGATGGAAGTTGATGGTTTTCCTTACTTATTGTGTGTTTTTTGTTTCCAGGTTCCACGTGCACGTACATGGAAAAGAAAGTTTATCTAAAATAAAATGTTGATTATGTTTTCTACATGTTTGAGCTTAGAAACAAGTTTGCAGTGTTCTCCAAATTAGTTTTATATGATATCCTCGTTTACTGGATATTTTGAACTACATTGTATCATCTTTATTTGAGAAATTATAGCTATAGCATCACATTAATAATGAAATCTATAAGAATATTATGTCCAATATCTCATTTAACATGTTCAGTATACATTTTACAATATACATCACTTTACCAAGATGCTAAAAGGCCCTTGGGAGAATTCTGAAACACTTTTTGTGACAGAATTGAACAAAACTTGTCACCTCTGGTATTACGTGTACCAAGAACTATCCTCTTAAAGATAATGGACTCATAAATATAGCTTCCCTAAGCTGGCTTTCAGGTGCCAGTTTCAGTAAAATACAATGCACCTTTGGCCTATATGAAATGAAATATGATACTATGGAGTAGTTTTTGTTAGTTTTGGCTTATATCATGTATATTTTTATCATGTTTATGGAAAATGTGATAGATTAATCATACTGTTATAATACATGTAATAAGAAGTTAGTTCTTACAAACTTTTTGTCATGAAAAGCGAATTAGAATACAAATTTTTAAGATTATAGGAGAATGAACACAAAATCGAAACACTTGTTTTTATGATTAGACATGTACAACATCTGTTAATTTGAAAATTTAATGTATGTGACTTTTACTTCTAGGACTAGACGACTTATTCTCCTCTCTACAGCACATCAAAACTCAGCTCAACTCAACGGACGATAAAAGCCAGATATCAATTATTCAACACTTGTTTAATAATAACCAATTCAGAAAAGCTGTCCAGGTACACAACAAAATAATTCAAGTGACCTCTCGCTCAGCTGTGTACTCACCAGATGGCAGCAATGCATTACAGACGTCCAATGAAGTAATGACAGTGCTACAACATACACCTTCACCTTATGCAAGTGATCTAACAGATCTACTCTCCATGCCAGGTTTTAAAGTAAGTTGTCATCTTAGGATAGTGACTTTTGTGATGATACATATATTTATATGTCTACATTACTGATACTCATACATGTAGGCTCATCACAATATAGCCAATACATGATGAGTTTATTTTAAAGCATCAGACCGATCTGATACTCATGACATCGTGGTAAATTTCATACAATCATTGAATGTGAGCAGAGCTTATTTCTACATGTAGTTGATCATACTAATATCTTCCTCATCAGTAATAGGCAATGTAGAAAAAGGTGAGATGAAGAAAAAAAGTTGTGTATTAGTAATTTCAAACCGACGACTGACCAGTTTAAGAGTATAATTTGCAATATACTTCTACAAGTAAATCAAATGGATTGGACACACTGTTTTACCTTAAATGTCCATCCACCCATCTGTCACTGCTTTCATCAGTGCATGCTTCCATCAGTCACATTTTTATCTCGCCTTGCTTTTGCTTACTTTACATGTATTAGTTAGTTGGTGATTAGATCAGTTTATGGGGGACCACTAATGGTAGGTCAATGTTATTTGGTATGTTGATGCATTAGCATTTGCACGTCTCATTTCCATGGAGATTCTTTGGCTTCGCCCCCTGATTCGTGGTCTATTGACTTTGAATGTTATTCATAGTTTACATGTTTAAGTTTGTGATGAGATCAGTTTAAGAGGAACCCACTAATATTCATGATCTTAAGTCAATGATATTTGGTATGCAGTTGTCCTAGTGTTTGCAAGTCTCTTTTTCATGGAGATTATAAGGCCCCATCCCCTCATCTTGGTTTATTGACTTTGAAACTTTTATATTGTTTACAAGTTAAAATTTGTGTTTTGCTTAGTGTAACGGGCACAACTTATTGTAAATCAATGGTATTTGGTATGCATTTTATAAGCATTGGCATTTCTCATTCTTATTTTGTCCTGCACATTAAGTCATGGTTCATTGACTTTGAATGTCTTGCAGTAGTTTACATGTTCAGATATTTCCATTTGGATTCAATATTTGCATTATACTACAAAAATTACAAAAAGGCGAGACATATCTCTGTGTCAATAGTTTCTTTATCATTGATATCCCTAACAAAGTACGACTGATGATTCATAGATTACATATACCATCCAAGTGTGAATTTCCAATGGATGATCACTAAAACCATAGACTATGACTTTTTTTCATCACATTTTCTACTGCATTACAAATCACACCTACTATATATAACTATAATATCAAGTAGTTCTTTCAATAGCAAAATATGTATAAAAAGTATGAATAACAGTTTTATGTAAAATGTCAGTTAATTGTTTTATTTCGTATCGGAGATGTGAATAAGAATTACTGTTGATTCAAAAATAAATATAATGGTTAAGATAATGCAGAAAATGTGACTAGATGAACTTTGCAAAATTAATACCGGGTACTAATATTTGAATTTTGCAAGAAATATATTACATGCAGTGGTCTCGATCCTCTCTCAGGTCAAACCAAAGAAAATTGGAAAGAGCAAAGACTGGTCGACCAGTAGTCAGAATAATGTGTCCAGGTAGGGTAACATGTCTTCATGCATTCTGTTACCTTGTGATCTAGCCCATTAAAAATCTGGCTTTGTTTAACTTTGTCAAGTACAGAACAGGTCATAATTATATCTATTACATGAACATGAATCACTTAAATTTACTTATCGTAATTGTCACTTGCTGAACTCTGACTATAAAAAAATCATGCATTAAATTCTGAATTTAAGTTTGTTATAGGTAAGATTTATTATTTTATTGTTATTTTAGAACTTGTTACGAGCACATGATGGGGTTGCAGACCACCAGTCAAAACCGTCAAATCTTGGTGATGAAGATTTCAGTGAAGATCCTATTTCAAATTATGGAGAGGACACAATTAAAATTATACACCTTGAAAAAACCAATGAACCTCTGGTAATTACATGGAATAGTGACATGAAAGTTGTTTATTTTTTTTACATTTTCCAAACATGACTAGTACAGTTTAACTGCAGTACTCACATAACAAACTGGAATAGCCTTTACTAGCTATATTTAGTATCTGCTGACACATACTGACTTTCTGACTACCCTTTATGTTCACTTAACCAATTTATTTGAATGAAGAGTTATCTGTTTGAAGTTTCAAGGGAAATTTTTTTTACTCAAATTTTGAATTAGATAAAAATATTGACGTCATTTGATTGAATTTTGATGCACACAACAGCCACTTTGAGTAACTGACCTGATTCCACATGTTGAAAATAATAAAATACCAAATACTTTGATTTATTTTAGGGAGCTACAGTTAGAAATGAAGGTGATGCTGTGGTAATTGGTAGAATTGTTAAAGGCGGAACTGCTGAAAAAAGTGGTAGGTATCACTAAAATATATTTCAATACATGTACTGTAAATTCAGAAATTATTGCGATGATTTTATTATTGAGAAAAATGCGACAGGGTAATAATCGCAATAATTTAAACTCGCATTTTGAAATTTTTTATATGAATTAAACAGGATTTTTCTCAATATCGCAAAAATTAAAATCGCATTTTAGTCTAAAATTATAAAATCGCAATAATAAATGCACGCAATAATTTCTGAATTTACAGTATTAAAAAGTAAGCTAACTTATTATCATCCTTTATATGTACATGTACTTGCCATTTTAAAAACAACAAGCAACAAATCTATCGTGTCCTTCACATTTATTTAACCCCTGCTATGAGTTTTGGGAAAGGTGGGTATAATGGAATCACTCGGTCTGTGAAGTAATATCCATTTCAAGGACTAATTTCACAAAAATTCTTACGATTAAAAAATACTTGTAAGTTATGAACATTTCAGTATAATTTAACAATCAATTTTAGTCGCAAGATTTTTTGTGAAAAGAGCCACTAAACTTTTGAATGTCTTGAAGGATATTATAAATGGTACTTGATGTTATTGTTAACCACCACCAGATAATGTAATGCAAAATAAAGACTGAAGGCCTGTCTGCAAGGTCATTGTCACAAACTTTGTTCAACTTAATTTCCCTATATTCAAGTATACAATTTATCAAACAGCAATCAACCTATGAAATATACATATGTCATGTCAGACTCAGAAGTAAGGAATACCTTGAATAATACTTGATTTTTATTGTTGCCCACCACCAGAAATTGTGTTCTATATGAGTTTTTATGCCCCACTCAGGAGCAATATGTTTTTCGGTCTGTTCGTTCGTCCGTCTGTCTGTCCCGCTTCAGGTTAAAGTTTTTGGTAAAGGAAGTTTTTGATGAAGTTGAAGTCCAATCAACTTGAAACTTAGTACACGTTCCCTATGATATGATCTTTCTAATTTTAATGCCAAATAAGAGTTTTGACCCAAATTTCACGGTCCACTAAACATAGAAAATGATAGTGCCCGCTTCAGGTTAAAGTTTTTGGTCAAGGTAGTTTTTGATGAAGTTGAAGTCCAATCAACTTGAAACTTAGTACACCAGTTCCCTATGGTACGATCTTTCTAATTTTAATGCCAAATTAGAGTTTTGATCCAATTTCACTGTCCACTGAACATAGAAGATGATAGTGCGAGTGGGGCATCTGTGTACTGTGGACACATTCTTGTTTATGTCTGATTACAAACCCATTGTAAATTATTTGTTAATTTAGATGAGTACAAGGGGCTTTGTGAACTTTGCTCCCAGTACCTCTAGTTTAAGTAAACGAATGAATTCTGTAAAAAAGGAAATGAAGAACACCCACATTTTAAAGTTGATCCATGCCCAAAGAACTGTACTCAAAAATGAATTCGACCAAAAGTATTATAACTCGCAAAAAATGGAATTCCTATGAAATTGTGGAGAAGCTTATTATAATGAGGAATTTAAATATATCTAATGGACTATACTTGCTTGTAGGCTTATTACATGAAGGAGATGAGATTTTAGAAGTGAACGGTATAGATATGAAAGGCAAGAACATAAATGATGTATCAGAAATGCTGGTAAGGTTATATGCATGTAGTTACATCACAATAATATCAAGGATCACCAAAAAAGTGTCATGCAGATTGTAGAAGAGGTGAACTTTGTCCAATTTTGATACAAAGAAACGATTTGAAATAATATTTCAGATGAACTTTTGCAAGTCTTTTAAAATTCTAGAAAATAACCAAAAGCTATAATTTCCAATAATACAGTCCCTAATCTACCATCAAACTTGAAATTCAACAATGAGTTCAAGGATCAAGTGCAGAATTACAAAAGCTGATGGTAAAAAGATGAGTACTTTCACTGTGTGTGGAATAGGCTGAGTTCTTATTGTAATGAAGGTCCATACCATACTAAAGTTTGCTTATGAATTTTTGAACTTTTCAGGCAAATATGACAGGAACAGTTACTTTTATGATTATACCCAGTGGTGACTTCAAACCAAAAATAAGCAGTGACGAAGTCGTAAGTATTTTATACAAAAATATAATTGTTAAATGTGATCTACTTAGGACAATTATATCAATTGTCCTGTTAGATAAGATAATGAAAGATTTTAATTAGTTCATAAAATGTGGCGAGATGAAGACAGCATAAGGTCAAATAGTTTTTCGTCTGACTTTTTTTCTCTCAATTTAATTGCAAGACCCCAAAATTATGATTGCAATAGTTAATTGACTTAAGCCAGTAATGAGCAGAAGCTTTAATTCACTGCTTATGTTCAAACATTAAAAAGCTTTTATGATAAAGTCATAGGCTTATGAATGTATCAGCTGCTTTTCTGCATGCTATCAAATACTCAGCTTTGTAAGAAGAGAGAACATCTATTAGAGAATAAGAAAAAAAGATTTAAAGGAAAAATAATTTGAATGAATAGAAAGCTTAATAAGTAAAGCAGTTAAAATGGTTTTGAACTCAAATATAATAAAGGAAATATTATAGTGTGTATCCATTGAAGCATATTGTCTTAAATATTGAGCAACATTTTTTAAATATTCAAACTCTAATTTTTTAAGAAAATAACATTTTCACATGATTTTATAGCATATGCTTCATCAAAAGTTTGCATTATAAAATTTTGTAATTTTTTATATGTTTTACAAACTGTATGTGATGCTGCTGAGAAAACTCTTTATTTACATTATTTGAAGTATATAAGCAAATAGAGTAAATATAATATTTCAGTCATATTTTGGCATCGTAAGTATGGATTGATTTGTCTATTCTATTTACCTGTTAGCTACTTAATTTAGGTGTTGCCAATTTTCTGTATGTTGTCACTAACAACTTTTGACTTGTTTATTCATGATTAAATTGTTAATAAATCTTTATTTTACAGTTTTCAGCATTTATTTATTTATACCAATAAGTTTAATAGTTCTACTTTAATTTTGAATGTTTGTCTAATTCAGAATGACCATTATGATACTTTAACAAAAATCGCATGTAACAAACTTATCCTTTTTGAAAAGTTATATTAATAAATGATGCAACATTTTACTGTTGAAAGACAAGAAATAGTAAGAACTAGAATGAAACAAAACTTCATGCACATTCTAGCTTAGATCAGAATATTTGAAAATAATATATGAGGAATGACATTTGAAATACATCTTAGGAATACAATTACATTGTAGATACTAATACTCATTTTTGTCGAGCCTGCGACTTTTGTCGCAGAAAGCTCGACATAGGGATAGCGATCCGGCGGCGGCGGCGGCGGCGTTAGCTAACTTCTTAAAAGCTTTATATTTTAGAAGATGGAAGACCTGGATGCTTCATACTTTGTATATGGATGCCTCATGTTACGAAGTTTCAGTCAGTCACATGTCCAATGTCCTTGACCTCATTTTCATGGTTCAGTGACTACTTGAAAAAAAAGTTCAGATTTTTTGTAATGTTAAATTCTCTCTTATTATAAGTAATAGGATAACTATATTTGGTATGTGCGTACCTTGCAAGGTCCTCATGCCCGTCAGACAGTTTTCACTTGACCTCGACCTCATTTCATGGATCAGTGAACAAGGTTAAGTTTTCGTGGTCAAGTCCATATCTCAGATACTATAAGCAATAGGTCTAGTATATTCGGTGTATGGAAGGACTGTAAGGTGTACATGTCCAACTGGCAGGTGTCATCTGACCTTGACCTCATTTTCATGGTTCAGTGGTTATAGTTAAGTTTTTGTGTTTTGGTCTGTTTTTCTTATACTGTATGCAATAGGTCTACTATATTTGGTGTATGGAATGATTGTAAGGTGTACATGTCTAGCTGGCAGGTGTCATCTGACCTTGACCTCATCTTCATGGTTCAGTGGTCAAAGTTAAGTTTTTGAGTTTTGGTCTTTTTTTCTAATACTGCATGCAATAGGTCAGCTATATTTGGTGTATGGAATGATTGTAAGGTGTACATGTCTAGCTGGCAGGTGTCATCTTACCTTGACCTCATTTTCATGGTTCAGTGGTCAAAGTTAAGTTTTTGAGTTTTGGTCTTTTTTTCTAATACTATATGCAATAGTTCAACTATATTTGGTGTATGGAAATATTTTATGATCTATATGTCAGTCACGCAGGTTTTATTTGACCTTGACCTCATTTTCAAGGTTCATTGCTCAGTGTTAAGTTTTTGTGTTTTCGTCTGTTTTTCTTAAACTATAAGCAATAGGTCAACTATATTTGTTGTATGGAAGAATTGTTATCTGTACATGCCTGCCTAGCATGGTTCATCTGACCTTGACCTCATTTTCATGGTTCATTGGTCAATGTTTAGTTTACTTGGTTAATGTTAAGTTTATGTGACAGTTGTAATAAAGCTTTATATTTAGGACTATCAACATAATATCAATGATTAGTAAAGAAGGCGAGACATTTCAGCGTGTGCACTCTTGTTAATTCAATCATACAGTTTATGTTTTATTTCACATTTGATAAGAAAAATATTTAAAGAACTTGCAAAAACATTCAACAAAAAGAATAATTAGTAGTATATGTACTTGGAGTTGATAGAAGAATTTAATGGTAGTGTCCATGGATTAATTGAGATACAGAGAAAATGTCAATTTAACTGCAACCTATAGCTAACTACACATCAGAAGTCATCCTGAGAATGCTGTATGGCCTTTATAGATGAACAATTGTTATTTCTGTACAGAATGTTCTAAGTCTGTCTAATGCATTAGCATCACTGTTCTTTTTGTTTACAAATTATAAGTAGGTTATTGTATAACAGCTTAGATTCTGTTTCCATATGTATGTTGACTTGTTGCTGTGACTGAATTGAAATGAAATATAGGCTTAACATAAATGAGACGAAATATACAAAAAAGACATCTGCAGAAACTATACACTCTTTTAATAATGAATAGGACTTATAAATCATCTGTTAATTCAATATACCTATAATTCCAGGTAAATGTAAAAGCTCTGTTCAATTATGATCCAGAAGAAGACATTTATATTCCCTGTAGAGAATTGGGGATATCATTTATGAAGGGTGATGTACTTCGTGTGATCAATCGTGAAGATTTGAACTGGTGGCAAGCATACAGAGAGGGAGAAGATGAACATGAATTAGCCGGTCTCATTCCAAGTAGCAACTTCTTAGAACAGTTAGTATTCAGTGATATTTTACGATGTGGTCATATAGAGCAATTGTTTGATGTGTTAAAGGTGTAATGAATCTTGTATACTCAGGTACTCAAGTACTAGTGTGACCAATATGAGGTAAAGTTAAAAGGATGATTAAAGGTATAGGTGTGAGTGATAAATATTAGGCTGTGTCATCTTTTTTTTAAAAGAAAATTGATTTGTTGGTTAATTTGAACCGTTTTGTGCAAAACTTTTAGTTTAAGGTTTGTTCGTGCAGGCCTCTACAATACATTTTTTTCCAACTTGTCCAGTAGGACAAGTACATACCAAAATATACTTGTCCGAATGAAATTGTAACTTGTCCAAAAAAAAATCTTAATAATAACCTTTTTCGCATTTTAAGTTGATTCAAGGAACAAAATGAATTAAAACAATATAACAGAAGTTAGTTTTATATCTTTTGATATACTTTTCAAAAATATGAGTCGAGAAAAACTGAATCTAGTCATGTCACAGGACTTTAAGGTTCTAGTTTTCATCAATGCCAAAGTCTCATCAGACTCTGCACATGAGGCACTGTCTGATAGGCCTGTCAATGTACACTCATTGGATTTGTATCCTGTTTTTTTAAGTTGAAACAAGTTTATTCAAATGCATTCAATAAAAAAAAAAGAAGATGAGGTATGATTGCCAATGAGACAACTCTCTGCTAGAGACCAAATGACACAGAAATTAACAACTATAGGTCACCGTATTGCAAGTATTGTTTTTTTCTACATATGATCAAATATGATTTTGTGAATTTTATGGTAAATAATTTCTTCATTTTTATTTAAAAAATATTTTTGATAAAAAATTACTGGTTTGGTATTTATTATAAAGCAACAGAATCAAGGTAGGAAAACGAGGTACTGATTTGTCTTGGTCCCGAAATTTCTCCTGCGTTGCCAAACTGTCTATTTATCATGTCTATTAAATATGTCTCCGACGGTGCCAAACTGTCTATTAAACTTGGAGCCAATTGTTTCCAAGCTGGTGACAACTGTCTTGTAAAGTTATCTATCTACAAAGCGCATCCCTGATTCGGATCAGTAAGACTGGTTTCCGATAATAGTATGCCTTTTACCTGTTAAAAAGTACCTGACAAAGAACCAGTTTTAAATTATCGATTGCAAGTATTGAGGAAGTAAACATGTGAAATTAATACTTGTTTTTATCTTCTTTTCTTGTTTCTGTTTATAATTACTTTGTTCATCAAAACTGGATTAATTTTTTTTTATGCAGAACAATTTTACTTGTCCCATCGGACAAGCTTGATATAGCTTTTACTTGTCCGACCTTTTTTTCCTCTGGTATCGGACAAGCGTTATTGTCGAGCCCTGTCGTGAATTGTCATACTTAGATTGTGGAATGTCTGCAAATCTTTTTATGTTGGGCCTGGAACAAATCTTGCAAGTTTCATCTGACCTTGACCTCATTTTTATTGATCATTGGTCATACTTAAGTTTATGTGATACAGGTAGAAAACTTTCGACATAAAAAACATTCATTCGTGATGATAAAGCAAGCTAGACATTTCAAGATGTGCACTATTCTTTACTTTGTGTGTTTGTTGCAGGGTGTAATTTTTAAGTTCAAGCTTATTTCAGAAGGATGGAGACCTTGATGCTTTCTCAAATACTATAGCAGTAGGTCAACTATATTTGGTGTATGGAATGATTTTTAGGTGTACATGTCTGCTAGGCTTTGTTCATCTGACCTTTACATCATTTACATGGACCACATATGATACTTGTAGTAAAACTTTATCTCAGACTTTCAACATAAAATCAATCATGATCAGTAAAGCAAGTGAGACATTTCAGTGTGTGCACTCTTGTATGATTTATTTAACATACATATCTTGTTTGCATTGCTGGTATTGTGATAAGTTTATGTGATGTTGCATCTTTGAGGATTTTTAATCATTGTCTCTAACCCAAATGATGCAAAGTAAAATCATTATGGTATCCTGTGGGTTTGAATCTGTCCTCAAGCAAATTTTTCATAGAAGTGAACTTGTAAATAAGATGTCCCAAATTATGAAACTCCCAATACCAAAATGTTTGTCATCAATTTAAAAATAATATAAAACATTTGAAAAAATAAACACACAAGTAATTGTAATTATCTTTTTATTTTTAAGCACTATTATTTTCACAAATTTTACAATACATTTAATTATTGACATTATACTCTTATTTCCAAAAGTAAAACTATATTGAAGCACTAAATACATAATGATAATAAATACAATTCAAGTCAAGCTATAATGTTCTATAATAAACTGTCAATAGTTCATAGCACAATATTTATAAGTTCATAATTCTGATAAAGACATGTCATGGTAGATCCTCTCAGTAATGGCTGACACTAAGCACTGTTTCTGTTGGCATGTCATTGGATCATTGACTTCAGGATAACGTGTAACATAACTGATTACGGAGGGCATGGCTCTGTCTTGGCTCAGATAAACTGTTTTGGCTGTTGATGTGTTGGTAGTTGCATTATGGACAGCTGTCTTATGACCAGTCAGTTGATTCTGTAGGAAACGGTACCAACCTAGTGGTGTTTTGAAGGCACGACAAGTCCAGTTCTCAGATTGCACCAGTTGTTTATAAGTGTTGTTCATGTTGAAGTACTGCTTTGGAATCTGGGACTCAGTGACTGGCTTTGGTAGATTGTAAGTTGACACTGAACGTTGTTGAACTGTTGTTCTCTTAGATTTGGTGACTGACTTGACTGGAGTATTTGCAGGCCTTTTGGTTGGAAGAGTTTGTGACTTCACATGAAGGTTTGGAACTGTTTTGATGGATCTAAGTTTCCCTTTGGTACTGGATGGTAGAGTTGATGTAGAATCTGGTACCCTCTTGGCAGGTGTAACAGGTTTTGAGTCAGTGATAAGCCCCAACATTTTCTCAGCAGTGTTAGGTTCTGTCTTAATGCTGCTGAGTTGACTGTTTTTAACATCTGAAGTTTCAGGTGAGTACAACAACATGATGGAATAACCCTTAGGTACCTCTTTGATGTATAAGGTCATCTTTAGTCCATCAGGCAAAGAGTCAAGATAGGCTTTAAAAGTAGCTGGTAAATTGGTGAAGTAACCCATAATGAACTTTGAAGTGCTGAGCTGATGTTTAATTTAATTTTTATATGGTGATATTTTGAAAATAGAATACTGCAATTTATTTCTATTGGTTGATAAATAAATCTTTGCACAGATCAGATGGTTCTTCTTGTATGTTATTGGTTTATACTGGAAAAACATTAATTGTGGTTGGACAATGATATTCTTTTGAAAAAAGTAGTTTTAGATAAACAGCACAAAATTTCAAAGGATAATTTTACTTTTAAAGTAAACACTTTTCTTTCATTTAGATTTGAGAAAACTGGCTTCATTTTACTCAAGTAACTTTTTCAGTGGCTATGCTTTGATGAAGGCTTGGGGTTGTCAACATCTTTTTGTGTATACAGTTCAATCAGTCAGATAATTAGTCTAATTATCTATAAAGTTTTAAACTTTTTTAATTTACTTTGTCCAATTATTTATTAAATTAGGAACTTTGATTGCTAATTAAAGAATTTATTTGTGAAAAATGAAGGACAATAAATAAAAGATAATAATTATTTTATTATAGTGTCACATATTGATTGACAAAATATTTACATATCATGATCACAGTATTCAATAAAACAATACATACCCAGTCATAAATTTGACTTATGAGACACTTAACACATGCTATGTACATATCAATATAGTTTCACAGTAAAATTCATAAAATGATCATCAAAAAAGTTAAAACATGTTTAGGCATTTAAAACCATATATATTTTGAGCAAAAAAATAAATTAAAATCTGAAATGAATGTTGTTTAAAAGTATATATAATAAAATATAAAAAGGAATAAAATATATATTTTAAGTTTTATGTAATAGGAATCTAAAAAAATATGTTTTCCTATTGTGAGAAACTGTATAGATAGATAGAAATATTAGATTAAATTGAAAGTACTTTTATTATATAAAGATTATGTTTTAAAGGTGGAAAATGAAATGCAATTCCAAGATGAATAGAATACTCGGGTTACTTCTTTTTCATATTTAACATAATTCTTGAAAATTTAATGAATAAGGCAATCTTGGGCAATACTAACAAGGGTAATCATCATTTAACTCTATTTAATTATAGTCTTGAACATTGCTTTAAAGTACTTCAAGCTGATTTTACATGTATTTAGTCCTATTTTAAACAAAATCTGTAGTTTATTTCCACACTTTGAATCATAAAGATTATATGATTCATAAATTTTTTTTTTTTTTATTAAAACTAATAGCAAATATTTATTTCATTTTGACTTTTGTGATGTAAAAGTGCATTATAACATTATATTTTTATGCCCCATTTATGGGCATTATGTTTTTCAATCTGTGCGTCCATTGTCCGTTCGTTCGTCCGTCCGTCCATCTGTCTGTCCCGCTTCAGGTTAAAGATTTTGGTCAAGGTAGTTTTTGATGAAGTTGAAGTCCAATCAACTTGAAACTTAGTACACATGTTCCCTATGATATGACCTTTCTAATTTAAATTAGAGTTTTGACCCCAGTTTCACGGTCCACTGAACATAGAAAATGATAGTGGGAGTGAGGCATCCGTGTACTAAGGACACATTCTTGTTATGCTTAAAACTGTTTCAATGAAATGTTGGCTCTTTTTACATGGTTTTTCAGTCAAAGACATAAACAAGATATGCTATCTTTAGATTTTAAGCAGTTGTTATAATGAAATCAACAATTTTGGAAATATTTTCAAATAATAGAATTGTTTATAGAGATAGAGATACATTAAATTGTGATCTGTTGTTATTTCAAAACTCACCATGTCTCCTTCAACAGATAAGAAAAATAGACTTTGCTTGTTATTTCTATATTTTTATTAAAATTTCCTGTTGTTGAAGAATAAACCCATATAAAAATGATGTAATAATATTTAAATTGACAAAAGAAAAGCATTGTAAAGAACAGATAGTAGTTTACTAATTTATTTGATTTATAATGCTACGTCATATGAAACATTATACATTTAAGATTTTCATGTTTGTATTTGACATCACATCTTTTATCAACTGGAGACATCACTGTCATCTTAAATGTTAACTCAATGGTCTGATATTGGTCATTTGGATGCTTGATAAACAAACTCCACATCATAGTTTGCTTGTCTCAAATGATTTTACAAGCTTTTGATAAATTAGATATTAATTGCATATGATGATGTGTGTTTTATAATTTGCTAGGAGTATGATGAAGTTTTAGCTACATATATGTTCCATACACTTTAAGTGGTTATAAAATGAATAGGGACTCCTTCATTCATAGATTAATGATATATTATTTTGGTTTTTTTTTTGCAGACGAGAAGCATACAAAAGAACTTTGAATAATGATGGTAAGGATAATACAAAGAAAGGTAAATCTTGTTCTTGTGGCAGAAGAGATCGACGGAAAAAGAAGAAACAAATGTATAAAGATGGTTTGGAAGGTAGTTATATTTTTTTTTATATAAGATATGATATGTTGACTTGTTGTCTCGTCTTGACGGAGTCAAAAAGCGAGACATAGATATGCTGTTTCCGGTGTCGACAGCGTCAACAATGTATTAGTTTGTTATCAGGTCTAGTTCATGGTGAACCACTAGTGGTAGGTCAGTGATTTTTGGTATGCAGTTGTATTGGCATTGGCACATCTCATTACCATGGAGATTATTTGGCCCTGCCCCCTCAGTCAAGGTCTATTGACTTTGAAACTTTGCTTAGTTTACATGTATTAGTTTGTTATTAGGTCAGTTTATGGGGAACCACTAGTGGTAGGTCAATGATATTTGGTATGCAGTATAATAGCATTGGCACATCTCATTACCATGGAGATTATTTGGTCCTGCCCCCTCAGTCAAGGTCTATTGACCTAGAAACTTTTGCTTAGTTTACATGTATTAGTTTGTGATTAGGTCAGTTTAAGATGAACCACTAATGTTAAGTCAATGATATTCAAGTTTCATTTCCATGGAGATTATATAACCCCACCCCCTAATTATGGTTCATTGACTTTGAAACTTTTACATAGTTTACAAGTTAATGTTTGTGTTTAGGTTTGTTTAAAGGGAAAGACTTATGAAAAGTCAATGGTATTTGGTTTGCAGTTGTATTAGCATTGGCACATCTCATTTCCATGGAGATTGTTTAGCCATGTACTTTCAGTCATGGTTCATCGACTTTGAATATTTGCATAACTTACATGTTAAAGTATTGCTATTTTAATTTCAACATTTGCATTATCAAAATTACAAAAAGGCGAGACATATATCTGTGATAACAGTTTATTTTTATTTGTTTGTCTTGTTAATTTTTAAAAATTTGTAAATAAAAAAATTCTTGTTTTTATGTAAAGAATTAGATTTGCAAAATGTTTAAAGGATTCAGGACACAGAAAAAAATTCTGTAATGATGATTTGCCAACCTTAGTTAAATAAAAAATTTAGAATTTCATATAAAGCAGTATTTAAAGAAAGTACTTTCACATTTAATTCTGGAATTACTGATTGTATTTGCTAGATCATATATATGCCAACAAAACAGAATGAAAAGATATTTTATATTTACAGAAACAGAAGAAGTGCTAACATATGAAGAAGTATCATTATATTACCCTCAGCCAAATCGTAAAAGGCCAGTAGTTTTGATTGGTCCAGCTCATGTTGGTCGTCATGAATTAAGGCAGCGTTTAATGGAATCTGATTTTGATAGGTTTGCAGCAGCTATTCCACGTAAGTAAATTGAGTTCAGAAATTACTTTTTGTAAATATATTTAGTCTATTACATTGAAAAAATCTACACACAAGTTTAGAACAGTATGCTAAATGATGGAGGTTAAATGGGGGAAAAAAAGTTGAAGTTGTTATAAATTATAGCAGTTAATTATGTTTTCCTACATTCTGTAAATAAAACTTAGTATACCACACTTTATAATGTTTTGAAAATTAAATACATTTTTAAGAATCTTTATTTGTGTTGAAATGAAATGTATAAGTAATTAATGTATTTTTTAACAGATACAAGTCGACCAAGAAAAGAAAATGAAGTGCCCGACAGGGATTACCATTTTGTAACAGCAGTAGAATTTAAATTGGACATTGAGAATAATAAATTTATTGAACATGGAGAATTTGAGAAAAATTTATATGGAACAAGTCTTAATGCTGTTAGACAAGTGATCAACCAGGGCAAAATATGTGTGTTGAATTTACACCCAGAGGTATGTTCATTTTATTTCTTGTTAATGATATTTACTACTTGTTATAAGTTATATCAGCTTTAAGCTGTTCATGAATCTACTATCACTTGAAATGATATCTTATTTTGATTATTTCATAAGTTTGATTTCACACTGTAAATTTAGGATACAAAAAAAAACGAATTATAAATAAATGTTTTAATAAATTTTGCTTAATGTGCATTGTAGCTAAGCTCTGAGGAAAATCTTGTAATAGTAGTGAAGGTAAAAATGGAGAATATTTTCAAAATCTTGATGAGTTCAGTAGTTATTTTGTATAATACTTTTGCATAGTTTTTGAGGGACATTATTTTATTCTATTTTAAATGGAATCTTGTTTTTGATTACCTCCCTTTAGTTGATTTTACTTCATAGCAACCATTTAGAGTTTCGTCTAGTTTATGTAGAGTTTTCAAACAACATTTATGAAGTATTATTAAATATGTTTAAATTTTATTATACTTTTCCATGTTATACTGATTAAAGTCCTTTATGTTTGCAAATTGAAGGAAAGGGGTTATGGCTTCTAATTTTATTGGTAACAATTCATACTTTTTCCTTGAGCATTTCAAAGTAGATTTGCTTTATTGGTTTAAATGAATGTTTATGTGCAGACAAAGATCATCAACATTTTTAATGTTGCACAACAATGTTAAAGCTAGATTTTACTTCTTTATATTAAGTTAATTCAGACAAACAAGTACATCAAGTTTTTCATTTTTTCAGTCTTTGAGATTGCTGAAGGAGTCTGATTTAAAGCCATATATTGTTTTTGTTTATCCTCCAAACATGGAAAAATTAAGACAAATCCAACAACATTTGACAAATGGTATAAAAGTTAAGGTAAGAATCAAACTTATTGTGTAGTTTTATCATATAGATATAGAGTAGTCTGCATTTAACCTACTGTGTGAAAAGGCTATAAAAAAAAATTGTTTACATATTTTTGAAACTGTATAGCACAGTTTTCAGTTTCAGTCAGACCACCTTTAAAGGGAAAAGCAAATTTCAACAATTCTGTTAGAGGCTCCTTTTATGATGTCCTCATTTAAAGGGAATTGAAAACTGCATTTAAAAAAAATTGTATCAGATTAAGCCTAAAATATTAGTTTCATCTTGTTTAGGAATATGCTTTGTTGCAAAATGACTAAATATAATCTGATAAAAACTATCAAATTTATTAACAGCCTAGATAGACAATAAATAAAAAATGTATTATAATTCATTTAAACATTTTTTGTGTAGGATGTTAATGTATATATCAGACAAAGCAATGTGTAAATGTAATGTTCCCAGTGAATATGAATTCTGTTTAAAAAATCACTAAAACAGATTACTAATCAAGATATGTAAATTTTTATAACAAAAAAATCATTTAACTTGCTTGTATTGTAGGACGAGGAATTACAGGACAGCATAGAACGTGCAAGGGAGATGGAAGACAAATATGGCCATTATTTTGATTATATATTAGTGAACTCTGATATGGAACTTGCATACCAAGAACTTGTAAATGAGATAAATAGATTGGAAGTTGAGCCACAGTGGGTGCCATCATCATGGGTTGGAAGTCGCCTTGTATTACAATGAATCATATGCATACATTTTCATAATTTTTTTCATAGGTCATACATTATATATTTGTCTTGCATTATTTCATGTTTTTCTGTTAGATCCCATTGACACATAACAATATCATATTTGTAGGATTTAGATGTGCCATTATATATTTTTTTAGCCAGTATATTTGTAAGATTTGGAGTGATTAAATAAGAAAGTTAGACCACCATTGAAAATATTACAACCTGGAAAACATTAGTATAAAAATGAGATTTTTGTCTTTGATTGTTTTATTTATACCTTTAGAGAAAGAACTGCCAATTGTAATCAAGAGAAAATAGAGTTTAATACACATGTGAATCCTTTATACTTAATACACATTGCCAAAATAAAAAGAAAAAGTCAAAAGATAACTAGAAATATTATGCAGTTATAAATATTCATGTTTTCAGCTTACCAGTATATGAAATATAATAGTCTGTACAAAATTCCTGCTTTCAATTTTATGGGGAGAAAATACACTGTTTTGTTGCTTTAAATAAGATTTCTGTTATCAAAATATCATGTCTTTAATTTTACAATACTTAATAATACATCAAATTGAAATTCACACCTTATTGTTTTTAAATGTGAGACTAGGAAAATATTTGTTTGTTGACAAAACTTTATCATTATTAAGATCTGAAAATATAAATTTTTGAATTGTAACTTTAATTACTATGAATAGAAAGTATTATTTGTATTTAAGAATGAAGATATAGCACTGGTTATGTCATCTAGTCAGAAATATTGTAACATTGTATATATAATTCATCAGCATTATGTATAACTATAAACAGTGACAATTTTTATTTGGAAAAGATTGTACATAGCAAATTATTTTAAGGGAGCTACCATTTGATTTTTATGGGGGCTAGGATGAAAAATTTTGTCCTGCATTTTTTTTTAGTTGTAATCTCAGTCCTGCCTTTTTATTTTTTACTCTACTCGGTCCTGCCTTTTTTTATTAGTTTATCCTGACTTTTTTTACATAAATTGTCATCCTGCTCTTTTCTTTTGCCAAGTTGCTGCCTTTTTTTTTACTCAAAACTCCTGTCCTGCCTTTTTTTTTTCAAGTTTCATCCTAGCCCCCATAAAAATCAAATGGTAGCTCCCTAAGAATTGATATATTTCACAGATGGTTAGATAAATTGTTAACAACTTGATAAGTTTATTAATTGGAGAGAAAAAATGTGTTATTACCGATATCAGACAGATTACTATACAGATCTTTGGTTGAAATACTCTGATATTTTAATGGGCTAAAACAAGTTGCCTTATCATATCGTTTCCTTTGCCAAAATGGGTTTGAAAATTGTTCAAAGGTTTTATTATCCACATATCATCTGATATTTGTCAAAATACTTACTAATGTCATATAAATAAATTGATTGACCTTAAGCGACTTCTACACCCTAGTTGCCCATTAGAATAGCCCTGATTACAAATACTTTTCCCAGACTGTGACTTTGAATTGTTTAGGGCATATTATGATTTTTTTTCAATGATATTCAAAAAATTGTGTTTTTTTCTGAGCCATGTGATTAGGTGTGGTTGCCTTTTATAAGTTACATTATAATTGAGTTCTACCAAAAAAAGAACAGTGAACAAGTAAACCACATGTTGAATAAAAAGAAATAAAGGATTCAGAACGTTTACATCGCTTTGAAATATTAGAAAAAAAAAACTAATTATGATTGATGATAGTGAGATTATTTTTACAAAGTTGTAGTTTATTTTAGTAAACACAAATAATCGTTATTTATGTAATCAAAGTTAATATATTAAAGAGGTAGATGAATGTGTGAGGATGACAATTGCACCTTAACTGTTATAAAAATCTATCAGTTATATTACAAATACAGTTAAAACAAGTTTTATAACTTTCAAAAAACCTTCGTAGATAAAAAAATATAAAATGACAATAGATGTGAACTGTATTTTTGAATGCTGTTGTTTTAATAAACCTTGTCACTAACAAAATAGTTTAACTGTTAGATTAATGATGACTGTTATCATAATAAGAATAATAAATGTGTGGAATAAATACTTAGTGATGAGATTTATATGTGAGGGGAAATTTATACTAATAACTCAATGCGACATGGCCAATGAAACAAAAAATACAATAATTTGAAAAATATTTTATCTAAGTACAAACTAGGACATATTAAAGGTTATAATGTTGATAAAAAGTCTTGATTTTTTTATTTTCATCCTTTTAGCACCAAATCATGTGATCAAAATGTAAAATGAATTGTTTGACTTATATTCATCAAATTTAAGATATTGCATATTGTATGAAGATTTCAATTCTGGAGACATTCCATTAAGAGGTTGTGAGCATGATTTTAGTTTGTTATTTTCTATGTTAGTTATATTATTATCATGGTAATGTCTTCATACATTTTATGTGTATTCAGTATCAGAAAGTTTTTGAGGTTTTGTTTTTTTCACACTTCTATGTGAAAAGTCTATTTTATCATAGTAAATTAGAAACCTGTGATAGTAATTGGCTCATTTCTGATATTATACAAACATATTAATTTTATATTGCTGTGAATATATTTTTAGCATTTTAGAAATTTGTAGAATCAGGTTATAAATATTTTATGTGCAATACAAATTTTAAATTTTTTGTACATAACAGTTGCTCTCTATCAATAATTTCTGCTAATCTAAGTAGCAATGTTTAATATTTAACATATAAATATGTTAGTTCCCAAGAATTATTACAAAGCTCAGAACATGCCATTTACATTGTTTACATAAATGTGGTTGTAGATTGCTGTATAGAAGGTTGTATTGAAAAAAATAAGATTGTTAGAATATTTATATGCTAAGACAGAACTGATAACAAAATTTTACTTTATACGTGCAGCTTTTGAAGACAGTACACTTCAAACATTCTTCACTGTTATAAGATTGGATAATTAAAAAATAAAAATCATGTGCGATATAAAAAGGTGCTACATGCTATATCTTTATATACATTATTCTGTATATATATATCACATTATCTAATTACAAGTAAATTAAATCCAGAAATATTTTTATTGCTTTTTGTCGAGCCTTCGACTTTTGTCGAAAAAGCGAGACATAGCGATCCTACATTCCGTCGGCGTCGTCGTCGTTGTCGTCGGCGGCGTCCACAAATATTCACTCTGTGGTTAAAGTTTTTGAAATTTTAATAACTTTCTTAAACTATCCTGGATTTCTACCAAACTTGGACAGAAGCTTGTTTATGATCATAAGATAATATTCAAAAGTAAATTTTGTAAAAAAAAAATTCCATTTTTTCCGTATTTTACTTATAAATGGACTTAGTTTTTCTGCCAGGAAACATTACATTCACTCTGTGGTTAAAGTTTTTAAAATTTTAATAACTTTCTTAAACTATCCTGGATTTCTACCAAACTTGGAAAGAAGCTTGTTTATGATCATAAGATAGTATCCAGAAGTAAATTTTGTAAAAAAAAAATTCCATTTTTTCCGTATTTTACTTATAAATGGACTTAGTTTTTCTGCCAGTTAACATTACATTCACTCTGTGGTTAAAGTTTTTAAAATTTTAACAACTTTCTTAAACTATCCTGGATTTGTACCAAACTTGGACAGAAGCTTGTTTATGATTAAAAGCTAGTATCCAGAAGTAAATTTTGTAAAAAAAAAATTCCATTTTTTCCGTATTTTACTTATAAATGGACTTAGTTTTTCTGCCAGTTAACATTACATTCACTCTGTGGTTAAAGTTTTTAAAATTTTAACAACTTTCTTAAACTATCCTGGATTTGTACCAAACTTAGACAGAAGCTTGTTTATGATCAAAAGCTAGTATCTAGAAGGAAATTTTGTTCCATTTTTTCCGTATTTTACTTATAAATGGACTTAGTTTTTCTTCCAGTTAACATTACATACAGTCTGCAGTTTAAGTTTTTAAAACATTTATTAGATTCATAAACTATCCGGGATTTTTACCAAACTTGGACAGAAGCTACTTACAATCAAAAGATAGTATAGAGAGGAATATTTTTATTAATTTTTTTCCTCATTTTTGCTGAGCCTGTGATTAACAGCAAAAAGTAGGCGAGACACTGGGTTCCGCGGAACCCTTACGAATTTTTTCTTTCATTGAGGACTTTGATGTATAGATCTTTGGTAGTTTCTGTTGAATAAGACAAAATCTCAATATATACCAGTCATACAAATTGCAATGTGAATGGTGTAAAACTTGAAAATATTTCTTCATGACTCTTTTAGTTGCACGCATCTGTCATCTTGGTCTGGCCTGTTAGTTTTATACCCCCTCTTAGTGTGGGCTATGTTGTAATCACCTTGTCTGCATACACCTGTTTGTATATATTATTCCACCAACAAATAATTTCTTCACTTGTCTCAGAAACTACTAAACAGAATGGCTTCATATTTGGACAGCAGCTTAAGTGACTAGTTGTAATATGTGAGCACTTTTCAGATCTGTCAGATACATACTTTTTGTTTGTCAATACTTCGAATTTTTTCATCACATGTTACTCCAGTTCAGCTGAACAGAATGACCTTAAATATGTGTGAATTTGGTCACCCGTTGAATAGTGTTGAATTATAACTTTTGTGCACTTTTGAAATCTGTCAGACTTACTGATACTTTTAGCTATGAATGGGGGTATACTGAGGACCATAACCCATGCATCGTTGTATTTGTGGCAACAGTAAACAGTATGCAAACACCATAATATCTTATCTCTGCTTTCACATGGGACAGGTTAACAAAAATTTTAAAAGAAATTTCATGCAGTTATGGTCACTAGAGCTTGACCTAATTTTCAAGCCTCTATGAAGGTCGGGATGGGGTCCTTCATTTCTGTATTCTATAATTTTTTGGCCATTTTTCTCTATTCTTTATATTTTAGCACTTCATTATTCTCTATTCTTTATTAAGTCTCCCAAACGAAGTTTGGGAAGACTTATTGTTTTTGCTCAGTTCTTATTATTATTATTATTCTTCTTCTTCTTCTTCTTCTTCTTCTTCCGCCGCTTTTAAATTTGAACTTGTCCGCACCCGTTCTCCAAAACCGCTTGTCAGATTAACTTAGGGTTTCACAATATGTTAGACTAACATGTCTAGTGGTGCAATCAGTGTTTTGTTTGTGCAATGGGGTTTATAAAGGGGTACTTTGAGGGGCAAAAAGAAAAGAGGGTTTTACTATAGAACCCTATGGGATTTTATTTTTTGAAATTTTCAAATGATTATAAATTGAAAACCGTTTGTGATAGACACAATCTTTTTAATTGAAAATGTTCTAAATGATAAAGCCCATTAAATGAAATACAGGGTTAGTCCCCAGGGGCCACCCCCACCCCCTGACATTTAAGAAAGTTCGAATACCTTGTAAGTGGTCAAGATCCCCACCCCTAAACCATATATATTTTGGTTTATTATGCTAAGATGGTTTGAATGATATACAGGGTTAGTCCCCAGGGGTCATCCCGACCCCCTGCCATTTGAGAAAGTTCAAATATCTTGAAAATGGTCGAGATCCCCACCCCTAAACCATATATATTCTGGTTTGTCATGATAAGGCACATCAAATGAAATACAGGGTTAGTCCCCAGGGGTCACCCCCACCCCCTGCCATTTAAGAAAGTTCTAATATCTTCTAAGTGGTCAAGATCCCCACCCCTAAACCATATATATTCTGGTTTGTCATGCTAAGATGGTTTGAATGATATACAGGGTTAGTCCACAGGGGTCATCCCGACCCCCTGCCATTTGAGAAAGTTCTAATATCTTGTAAATGGTTGAGATCCCCACCCCTAAACCATATATATTCTGGTTTGTCATGATAAAGCACATCAAATGAAATACAGGGTTAGTCCCCAGGGGTTACCCCCACCCCCTGCCATTTAAGAAAGTTCTTATATCTTCTAAGTGGTCAAGATCCCCACCCCTAAACCATATATATTCTGGTTTGTCATGCTAAGATGGTTTGAATGATATACAGGGTTAGTCCCCAGGGGTCATCCCGACCCCCTGCCATTTGAGAAAGTTCTAATATCTGGTAAATGGTCAAGATCCCCACCCCTAAACCATATATATTCAGGTTTTTCATGATAAAGTACATCGAATGAAATACAGGGTTAGTCCCCAGGGGTCACCCCCACCCCCTGCCATTTAAGAAAGTTCTAATATCTTCTAAGTGGTCAAGATCCCCACCCCTAAACCATATATATTCTGGTTTGTCATGCGAAGATGGTTTGAATGATATACAGGGTTAGTCCCCAGGGGTCATCCCGACCCCCTGCCATTTGAGAAAGTTCTAATATCTTGTAAATGGTTGAGATCCCCACCCCTAAACCATATATATTCCTATTTGTCATGTCTCGAACATTTGAATTACGTATAGGGTCAGTCCCCAGGGGTTCCTCCCCACCCCCAATGTTCTAGTATCTTGTATATACAAGGTTAGTCCCCAGGCATCACTAATGCATATAACTTTACTGGACCAAACCAATTTTCACTGGACGTTGCCCAATGTCAGGCGACCCTGGGAATTACGAATTATGGGAGCTTCGTTTGGGAGACTTCGTAACAGCATCCTGTTACAATCATTTCTTGTTTTTTGGGGTCATTGTTCTCTATTCTATATATTTTTTGCACATTATTCTCTATTCTGTAAACCCCATCCACACCCTCTCCTATGGTCAGGTTTTCTGTCTTCTCAGTTGTATACAGGGTAGGTCAACAATATTTTGTATATGATAAGGTTGTTTGGAGAGCTTCTTGTATTGAATTAGAAATAGTAACAAATTATTATCAGTCACTGGGGATTGTTCAGTTACACTCCATATTTAAAGCACAGTACTTATATGTGAAGACGACATAATGTAACTTCCCAAAAATTATTTGGTTTGACTTCAGTTTCATTTTATGTTTTTTAATGAAATATCAGACATGATTTCATGTTCAAGATTTTGTACAAAGTTTTATGTAAGATAGTTTGATAAGAAGTAGATGTCATAACAAAATGTGAAAACCCCATAGAATACATTAAATTATGCACTAAAATATACACTAAAGCCAAGGTACTCTTCAAACTGCTGAACCAATTTAAATAAAAATTCACATGATTGATCGTACAGGTATATAGGTCAAAGTTTGTTAATTTAATTCTGCTCCATCAATGAACATTGCCACCATGACTAAATAGAACGTATGGGTAAAATGCAGGTAATTGTCTTGAAAACCATAATAGATGCAGAAAATCTGTCAGGACAAAAAATGTTCAAAATTTCCAGATTTTGCATTTTTACCTGTAAACTATAATAAAACTGAAACCATAACTTGATCCTTTTTAAGAGTTAATTCCCTTAATTAACAACTTTTGGCAAATTAAAGAGTTTTTATGACCGCAAAAATTTCCGACCTTTTAATGGTATGTAAATGATGTCCAAAGACCTCTGGTTTCCAGACAATAACTTGAGTATAAGTGTATGGATTTGTATGAAATTGTACCACAAGGTTTCATACCAAAAAAGGCAGGTTTGGATTGATTTTAGGGGTTATGGCCCTAACTGTTTTAAATAGGAATTAGGGACCAAAAACAATACTTTTCTAATACTTTGTATAATGTTTATTTCTTGACCAATTTCAATGGGGTTTAAATCTAACCGTGTATTTAGATTTTGGCCCTGTTTTTAAATTGGTCCAAATTAAGGTTCAAAGGGTCAACATTAAACTTTGTTTGATTTCATCATAAATTGAATTGTTTGGTTTCTTTGATGTGCCTAATCTAATGGTGTATTTAGATTTTTAATTTTTGGCCCTGTTTTCAAATTGGTCACATTAAGGTCCAAAGGGTCCAAAATTAAACTAAGTTTGATTTCAACAAAAATTGGGGTTCTTTGATATGCTGAACACAACCGTGTATTTAAACTTTTGATTTTGGGCCCAGTTTTCAAGTTGGTCCAAATTAAACTTTGTTTCATTTCAACAAAATTGAATATATGGGGTTCTTTGATATGCTGAATATAACAGTGTATTTAGATTTTGGA